AAGCAAGGCAGATTGTCAATGAGATGGATTGATACAGTTAATACAGCAATGGGTACAAGTGTCAGAGATGTTGAGAATGGCACAGGATATGAAAGGTTCACACTTGTTCATGGAGTAACTCTGAGTTATATTTGACTTGATGGCATCTACTACAACATACCAAACACAAGAAACTGTGAATGCATGGCATCGAGTTTCACAAACACATGAGCACAATATAGAAAATATCTCAACAGCAAAGTATCATAAAAAATAGCTTAGTATTAGCATATGTTTTCAAAATATTGGTCAGTTTCTCTCACTTGTTGAACACAATGGTTGAACTCTAAGTTGTTTAATATTTTTTTATTTAAGTGTTTTGAAAATAAGCTACATGTTATCCTGGGTAAAGTTTGCTCTAGGTACCTGTGTATTGAGTGTGCTGATCATATCTATGTTTGTCTCTTTTCAGGGGGATATTCAGCAGTTGTTGATAACAGGTGACCCCAAAGCAGCATATGACTACTGTGAACATTATAGCCCAGACTGTGACTCTTCAGCTCCCAAGGCTGCACAGGCTCAGGAACCCCAGATAGATGAGGTAAGTGGCACAGGGTCAGGACAGGTGTTCTTGTTTCTATGTGAATAGCCTTAAAAGTTCCATGACTAGGTCCACATAGGCATCAGCTGCCAACTCAGAGGAGTCGACATGTCTTGCCTTAAAAAATATGTGTATTTATTAACAGTTTTAATTAGCCTCCTTTTACTCTAAACCTAACCTAATAGAGTTCTGCTGTTTTTTTCCTTCTTTCTCTTGTTAAAACAATTTGTTGCTTGGAGTTATGAAAAACAGAGGTAATTCACTTAGTTATTGTTTATATACCCATTGTCATCGAGTTCATCCTATCTTATAGGGACTGATATATAACATACAATTGAACTTTTCTATAGGGTTTCCAAGGCTGAAATGTTTACAAAATCAAACTGTCATCTCTGTCCCACTCTTGTGAGTTCCAAGTGCTGACCTTTAGGTTAGGAGTACTTTATGACTGTGCCATTGGGACTACTCATTTGGGGCAAGAGTGAGAAAAACGGTAACTTAAAAGTACCATGTTTCTTCTATTTAAATAATAAAAATTACTTCAAGATATTGATTTCATATTTTTTCCAGAGCTCTTGCCATTTCCCAGATTTTTGACAATCCTGAAGATTAAGACCAAGTTCCCATTAGAGATATTTTAACATTTTCAGAATGTGTCAAATATTTTCAGGAAAAATATACACATTTATTTTAGACCTATGGTATCTTGATACATTTTTTTCTTTAGCTTGCAAAAAAAAATTAACATATAGGGAGAAAAAATGAAAAGAAATGTGAAATTATTGTAATAACTTACATTTTTATATATTTTAAAACATCTTTTTTGTTTCAAATGTGAACCCACTATCTTATGCTTTTCTTACAGATGAATTTAACCATTATTAAATTTGATTTTATTATGTTTTGGATAAATGAAAGCTGAGTGTATAGAATATTAAGTGTTGGAGTATTAAGTGTTGGCTGCAAACTGAAAAGTTGTCAGTTTGAACCCACCAGCTAGTTTGTGGGAGAAAGATGTCTCGTTTTCTCCCATAAAGATTTACAGTCTTGAAATTGATTTTATGCCTGGGTTATCATTGGATAAAAATATCTTTTGTTACTATATGCTAAGATGTTATAAGCAATTTTATTATACTTAATTATCCCTATTAAATGGTATGATATAAAGTTCATCCATAATAAACGGTAAATTATTTATTTGGAGTTTTCTGGAAAATAAAATACAGTCTTCCTGGGAGAGATTCGGGTATTCCTTGGAACAGGATGCATTAAATTTTACAGGTATCGATGTTTAAAAATATCAGAACTTTGAAAAAGAATGAAAATATCACAACTGTCCTTAAGTTTATTTACAAATATCTCAAATAGCATATTTTTCTTCTAAATAAACTATAAGGTACTATCTTTTGAGTTGCGCTAATATTTTACAATAGTTATCCTTTTTATATTAATTTAGTATATGTAGATTTTACAACCAATATTTTAAAGAATATTAATAATTTTTTTGCATCATGTTTTTCAATATGATATGACTTGTTGTACTGATCTTTCCAATGAGGTAATATTATTGCTTTCTAAAGGAGGCTAACCTATCTTAAAAGCAACAGAAGGAATACTAAGATAAAAAAGAATGTGAAACTACCTGGCTATTTGTGTATATTTGGTTCATCATTCTCCAAAACTCTATTCAGTTTCCCCATGATTCTTTAAGTTGATTTTCTATGAATTTCAATGGTACTGAAAATATACATGAAGTTTAGCATTTTGGATTTGAGAAGTTATGTGATGTTTTAAAGTTAAAATGTATTAACATTTTAATATAATTTCATCATTGATGAGATTTGTTTCATTCTGTTTTTGAAAATATATGGCTCATTCTTGCATAGCAGATATGACTCTGACTTTTTAAAGAATGCAGGTATGCCTTCCTAGTATAATACCTTAAGGTTTATATTTCTATGTTGTAATTCTATTATATAAAACTAACTAAGATGTTTTAAAGTAAAATAATCCATCATCTAATCTTAAATTATTTACATTCTAGCTGTTGATATATATATATGTATATTTGTGTGTTTATATGTATATAAACACACATATAAAATATACTTATCACCTATTCAAGTGGCAGCACACAATTCCTTATCCACTAGGCCACCAGAGCTCCCTTACTGATATATGAAATTTACCTCTTTGTAGAAGTATTTGGTGAGAAAACCAATATACTGCTATAATAGACATTACATGATAATCTGAAAATGTGTTAATTCAGTAATAGAAGTGATTCATTTTTCATTTCTATATGGAATGTGTCACAATGATTAATTAATTTCTTTTTTTAAGAAAAGTCAAGTCTCTTTAGTCCCTACTTTAAAATGACAGTGATACTTCAATCATAAGACTTCTCTAATAATGTGCATATATGTGTGCCTATGATATAACATTTTCAGAAATTAATTCTGTTTGAAGCAGTGCAGTAATATTTAATTAATGGAAATCAATAATAAAGTTATGATGACTGCACATTTTTCATTAAGCAAAATTACTTTTCTAACTTGCTAGAGATCCATATTAAATTTATGTATGGTCTTTTCCTTATGTATTACATATATGTGCTACTTGATCTTTTTTATAGACAGTGGGAAGGAAAATTAAAGGAGAGGTTATATTTGATTGAAATATCGAACTAAAATCAGGCTTCCTAATACTTTTTATTTAATCTTCATTTCACATAATTTCTATTAGTAGCTCATCACAGAATAAGGTTATTACATAACATTTTGCTGAGTGTAGTTTCTAGAAGCAAATTACTGTATTTTTCATTCATCAAGATTGTGGATGAATTAAAACATAGAAATAAATTTCCCACATGTTGAACATGCAAAGACTAGCACTTCTAAGAGAAGATGTATGTTTGCTTGTCAAGCAGAATAGTTCATGCTAGTCTACTACTCACTGGCCAGGGAGCTCTAGTTGGCATAGGAAGGAGTTGTGTTGCTAGCACAAAACCCATCAACTCTGATGGCTTAAATTCATCACAATCTTCTCATGAACACTATCCTTATGTGCAGTGTATAAACGTGGAAATCCAATGAAGGGTCAGATATGTGTTAGTTCTGACTCAACAGCAATGAGAAAGTGAGATCTTCCAGATCAAAGATGAAATCACTCCATCACTGCCCTAATCATTTTGCACATACACTTCTCAGTGATTAGTTCTTTTTTCCCGCCCTATCTCCAAACTATTCCAAAAATCCAGAGTAAGAACAGAGGACTGCCTTTTCATATAGATTATGATGCTTTACTCATATTCACAGTCCTTAAATGTAACAGCAATAAGGTAATAGGAATTGAGAAAAATAAAGAGAAACTCTTATGTTTTGACTGGCTCCTGAAAAAATTCCTGAGCAGAAAAAACACTTAGCGCTTGAGATCAGGAGCCCCAGCAGTGCAGCAGTTAAGCACTTGGTGACAACTACAAAGTTGGCAGTTTGAACTCCCTGGTCGTTCTATCATTGGCTTTAGTTTCTGTTATGTATGTTTCAATAATAATCGTATTAACAGGTTTTCCTTATATGCTTATGGGTAGTACCCTATAACTCACAAAAATTGTACTTAGGCTATCTTTTATTTTTTAAAAAACACTGTAAATGCAGCACTCTTATTCAATTCAATAGCATTAATATCACATGCAAGTAAAAATCTTGCTGATGATTATATTAAAAATGGTTAAAACATACATCAACAGGGGACTACCAGAAATTCAAGCTGGATTCAGAAGGAGCCTTGGCATGGGGGATAACATTGCTAATGTCAGATGCATCTTGGCTGAAAGCGGAGAGTAACAGAAGGATGTCTGTTTTCTATTGACTTTATGCAAAGTTATTTTAATGCATTGCTCATACATAATATGGTCAACATTGAGAATAATGGGAAACCTTGGACACTTCACTTCTTGTTTATGTGAAAACTGTACCTACATCAAGAAATTGTTGTCCAAACAGAACAAGAGAACAATGCATGGTTCAAAATCAAGAAGGATATGTATCAGGGTTTTATCATTCCTCTATGCTTATTCAGTCTGTATGTTGAACAAAATTATTTTAAAAGCTATAGAAATATTTTAAAAGCCATATACATTTTATATCAATTTTAAAGTGATACCAATTTTATATAAATTTTTAAACCCATATAAAATTTAAAATATATACAGAAGAATGTGACAACAAGATTAGAGGAAGATTTGTCAACAACCTGAATTATGCAGATGACACAACTTCACTTTTAGAAAGCGAAGAGGCCAAGAGGCCGTGAAACACTTCCTGCAGGATATCAAAGACTGGCCTTTGAAATGGATTGTATCTCAACGTAAGCAAACAAATAAACAAAATTATCTTTACTGGACCAGTAGACAACATTGTGATGGAGGGAAGCTTGAAGTTATGGATGATTCATTTTACTTGGATCCTCAACCATGATAACAGCAGTCAAGAAAATAAAAGATGTATTTAATTGGTGAAAAAAATCTGCTATCAAAGACTTTTTAAAAATGTTGAAAAGCAGCTAGATATTTTAAAGACTAAGGTGAACCTGATCCAAACAATATTTTAAATTCCTATGCATCTGACATTTAAACAATGAATGAGGATGAAAAAACAAGATTCATTGCCCTTAAATGGTGGTGCTGGGGAAGAGTAATGAATAGCTCAAGGATTCCCAAAAGAACAAACAAGTCTGTTTTGGAGGAGGTGTGACCATGGTGATTCTTAGAAGCAAAAATGGGAATACTTAATCTCATATGCATTGGGCCTTTTGACAGGAGGGACCGGTCCTTGGACAAAGATATTGTTCCAGCAAACAAGGGGGATCAAAGAAAGAATGGAGATTCTCAAGATGGATTGATACAGTGATTATCAAATGGGCTTGGGTATATTAGAGATCCAGGTTCATGAGGCTGCATCCACCCAGCTGACACTGAGACCCAAGAGAGACCCACTCACCCTTGTCTATCCTCTAGGCATGGCCATAGATTTCAGTAGTTTACCATTCTGTTAAACCAAACCTAAGAACCTGGGGAAAGGATGAAAGTCACGCATGTAAGTGTCGAGGACTTTTGTTCATAGGGTCAGTATGAGTCCCCTATGACTCCACAGCGCTGAACAACAACAACATATTAGAGATGATGTATACAGCATGGGATAGGGTAGGATTCAGAGCTGTTGTTCATAGAGTTGCATGAATTGTAGATGACTTGATGGCACCAAACCAAAACTAAAGCAACAGTTGTTGCATAGGAGATATGGCCATCTGCTTCTATAAAAATTATGGTATCAGAAACCCTAGGGAGCAACTCTACTCTCTTGAATAGTGTTACTACAAGACACAGTCAACTCATTTCTGTTGTTTTCTATAGCTGCACAGGTAATCATGTTTTTCTACCATTATTCCATTACCAGTCATATTTGTCTTTATTAAGAGAGAATTAAAATTGTTTTGCTGTTGAATAGGAACTGACTCATAGCTGGCCACCCAAGTCGGTTTTTAGTGGTTTCAAGTGGGGGATATTGCCTTTCTCCAGTGGAGCAGCTGGTGGATTCAAATTTCCTGCATTTGAGTTCACAGTGCAATGCCTTGCCACTAGGCTACCACTGTTCAGGCAGAGAGGATAATTATGGAAGTTCGAAGAGACTTCTGCTGCCTTCAGCACAACAATCTCTTTTAGGAGGAAAACATGAATTGTTTTCTTACTCTCCCTTTTGCCTTTTAAGCACAGATTTGATTTTTTTCCCATATTCTCAAAAAATTCCTTTCCACATTTGTATTTTAACATATATAATTCAGTGAAAAATTATATGCATTCATTAATTCCTGTGTAATTCCTATTGAGTGCATAATAATTTTTGTGAATACAAATTAACCTAAATAACTATTGAAATGAAAAATTGCTAATAATCTTCAAAATTAGTTTTCTCACAATTCTAACTATTGCTCTGCTCTTAGACTTGCTTTTTTTAATTCTTAAGTTATATACATTTTAATAAAAGTATACTTCTGTTTACAGAATTATCTTTTATCTTAACATTTGCTCTAAGTAAAAGTTAAGATGACTTCCATTTTGTTAATGTTAATTGCAACTAACAGCATTGCCTGATATTTTTCCTTTGCAATGTAGTATGCACCTGAGGATATAATCGAATATGACTATGAGTATGGGGAAGCAGAATATAAAGAGGCTGAAAGTATAACAGAGACACCCACTGTAACTGAGGAGACAGTAGCAACAACAGAGGTAAAAACAAAGTAGCAACTTTGTATGTGGTGTCTTGCTGTTCATTGTCCTGTGGTTCCTTGAGCCCTCTGTACCTAAAACTCATCAAAAAACTTCCATCCAACTTATTTTTACAAACCAATAACTGATTTTTTTTTCCATAGTAGCTGTCCTGAAGATATGATGTTCGTTTTTCTTAGCCTTCCTTTCATTCATACTTTTTCCTTGTTATATTTATGTTTTCCATTCCATCTTTCATCACATTTTACAGAAAAAGAAATCCAATTTCAAAAAGAAGACGAGGACAGTGACCTCTAAGTCAAAGGAAAAATCTAAAAAGTTTAAACCCCCCAAATCTGAAAAATTTGCATCCAAGAAGAAGAAAAGTTATCAAGCAACAGCAAAAGCCAAACTAGGGGTAAAGGTAGCAAAGAAAAAACAATCAAGATCTATCCTAGATAAGCTGGAAGATCTCTGATGATAAGCCATTGTCCTAACACCACTAGATAAATACCCATTGGCTAATACCATAACACAATTAAATCACTATTTCCACATATTTGGGGTTGGCTCTTTTTGTTTGTTTTACTAATTGTTCTCTTTCCTAATCTATCATTAGGCAAATATTATTGATGATTTTCAAGACTACAACTATGGAACAATGGAAAGTTACCAGACAACAGCTCCTAGACGTGTATCCGGTACAAATGAGGTAATAAAAATAGACAGGATGATATCACCATGCTACATTTCAAATTAGGTAGTAGTATACTTTGATATAGTTCCCTCTGGATGAATCTATAATCTCTGGGTAGTTCACTGTTGCCATTCTTTTGCTGAGGAGAAAGAAATAGTATTAGTTCACTGTTCCTGAAAGCAATTAATTTTAGAAAAATTCCAATTCAGACTTTGCATGATACTTTGCTTCATGCAATTGCTAAAGTGATGAAACTGAATTGGCTGCTTTCATGTTCTTGCCTCTGCAAATAAACCAGCTTCTCAGCATGTTGTAGCAATGGATATTCACAACATAGCTAGAACTTGCTAATGTGAAAATTGTATCATCAAATGATATAATTAAAGTTTATTCCATATGAACTATAAAATATACTTTTGTGGCA